ATCATAGTCTCTATTTTTACACACACACACACACACACACACACACACACACACACACACACACACACACACACACACTACTGTGTGGGTCACTTGCAACCCCGTGCCTCCATCTTGTTTTGCAACAACCTTACTCCTTCCGTCTTCTCAACCTCCCTACTCTACCTTCTTCCTTCCTCCTCTCCTTCCTTCTTTCTTCTTCCCCTCTCTTTCCCCTCTCCTCTTCCCTTCTCCTCTTTCTTATCCTCTCTCCCACTCTTAATTCCCCATCCTTACTTTCTCTGCTTTACCCTTTCTTCTTTTCCCTCCTCACCCCCTCTCCTTTCCACCGTTGCCCTTGTTTATTTACTTTCTCTGATGGGTTCTCAGGGTGGCATTTCATCAATCCCAACTTTATCTTTTCATACCAATAATTTTCTCTGTTTACATTTTATTTCTAATATTAGTTCCACTTATATCATTTTTCCGCTTGTATATTTACATTTTAATATTTTCTTATTTCTTCTCCCCCTAATTTAATAATGTGCCATCTGAGATATTTATTTCATGTTTTGTTCCTTTCTCTTTCTATTTATATCTTTTTTCAAGCCAATCGTAAAATTGTCCCCATGTCCTATTTATCCATTTAAGTTTTAATTTTTATTAAATAGTTTATCCTGCCTTTATTACTTTTATAATTAACTCAAGGCAGTGAACATAAATGATACTTCTTCCTCCTCCCCTATTTTTCTCTTAAAAAACAATCCTGTGAGGTGGGTTGGGCTGAGAGAATGAATGATTAGCTCAAAGTCACCCAGCTGGTTTTCATGCATAAGGCAGGACCACAACTCACAGTCTCCTGGTTTCTAGGCCAGCACTTTAACCACTATGCCCAACTGGCTGCTCTAAGCAAATAATTGTCATCCAAATATGGATTATGAATTTAGCATGTTAAAAGTGCCATATCTTAGCTTCAGTTGTAAATACATTATATATATATATATATATATAAAGATAAAGGAGGAGAGCCTGTGGCTTAGTGGCTAACACAGCTGCCTAATAAAGCTAGCCAAGGCTTTATCTAGATATGACAAATTCCTTCTCAGTAAGGCATCCATCAGCAGACCAAGAAGTTCAGATATATACATTCATTGCAGAGTATTGAGAACCCATTTGCACAAAGCAGTTCAGCATCTAGCAGTGTACAGGAATCCTGCCCTATAGCCGTATGAACTGGTCTCAGGTTGAAATACTGGGCTCCTTCCACCTGCCTTTTTAAGTCAACAGCTCTTGAGCTGCTTGCTTTTTATCCTTGAAGGCTTCAACTACCTCTTTCCCATTTTAAAAACAGCTTTCTCGCACCAGAAATTCTCATTTTATCTGTCTTAATTCTTCTTCTACGAACATCCAGCAGATGTCAGTGTAAATCTACAAACATTTAATAAGAGGTCTGAGGAAAAAAAAACCACGATTTGTTCTTCCAAGTAGGAAGATTTGCCAAATGTTGTAAGGTCTAAACCTTGACAGTGTTGTTGGTGGTTTGAGAGGCAGAGAACACTATTCACTCTTGAACTGCCAGTATAAAGTCCTGTTGTTTTTAAAAGCTGTTTGTTTAAGCTTTGAATTAATTAATTTCAATTGAGATCATGTGTTCCAGGACTATCACATATTTCAAAGTTTGTGCCTCGGGCAAATTATGCTAGATGAGGGTTTTTGTCTGTGTGTGTGTGACTCTTTCATCATGTTACCCTCATAGACATTTTAATTTTTTATTTTTTTTCTCACCCTCCTCCGCCACAGCTGGTATTCCTTGCTTTTATCCCTTATTTTGTCTCCGTTTCATCTGATCCATATAAACTCAGATAATCTGTAAATCTCAAATTGAATTACTTCTAATTCTCTACAGCAGCAAACATTTCTTAAACAAATGTGTCATTTTATTTTGGGGCAGAATTTTATTGAAGAAAAAGGTTTTCTTGGTCAACTAGACACTGCATTACAAGTATGTGAAGCACAGAAGAAAAAATGGATAAAGGCTCCTAATTTGGGTAAGAATTCATAAACGTCACAGTGGTTCTGTCCAGGCTTCAACAACCCCTTGATTTTCAGTGCTTGGTCTGTAAGGATTATTGTTACAGAGCCAGAATCACACAAGCCATGAATTACTATATTTTTTGGAGTATAAGACACACTTTTTCCCTTTAAAAAGAGGGTGAAAATCTGGGTGCATCTTATACACTGAATACAACATTTTTGGCCTACTGAAACCTCTCTCCCTTTGCAAAAATGGTGCAGAGGGTTTGGGAGGCTTGCAAAGTGCTCCTGAGGGCTGGGTGTGTGTGTAAAAAAGAGCAAAAACTGGGCTGTTTTTGCCCCCTAGTGCCCAGGAACACTCTACAAGCCTCCCAAAGCCTCTGCATGCCTCTCCCTTTTTTTTTTTTTTTGCAAAAAATTAGGCTTGCAGATTGCAAAAACATTTTTTTAAATTTACCTCTTCAAAATTATGGTGCATCTTATACTTCGGTGTGTCTTATAGTCCGAAAAATACAGTACTGCAATGCATTTAAAGAAACGTAAGATTTTAGGGCATATATATGTATTTTTAAAAAAGCAGGGGAAGGAACTGTCAGAGGACATCTTTTCCATCTTGAAAACAACCTTAAGAAAATTCAGTGTGTTCATTAGGTATGAAGTAGAGAATATTGGATAGAGACAGAGCAAAGGAAGTATAAAGAACTAATAGAATGGTTAGAATCTTGAACATTCAAGGACATGCATTTGTTACACTGTCATGAGATCTTTGGCATTGTCCTCACTAAGATAAAGAAAAGTACAAATTTAGCTTTTGAAAAAGATGGCCCCCATCTTCTCCCAAGTGTTCTTGTTTTTAGTATAAAGTGATTTTTATTGTATTAGTAATAAGCTTTTCATGAAAGCTACCTGTGGAGCTCCAAAATAGATTAAGTATCTTCCTGAGAACAACGGACTGTACACCTTGCTTTGGAAATGGGAAGAATTCCTAAATTCTTAAGGATTTTCAGGAAAAATTACTAAATAATGCCACCATGATTTTGTCTGGTGTAAGATAGGGGAGAAAGAAACATCAGGAAGCTTCCTAAATGCCTGTTTCTTACCCTATGACTGATACCCTATGACCCATTAAGCTGTATTAGTAAGATTTCATTCAAATTTAAAGTAGCTATTTAGGACAGAACAAATATATTGTGTACCTATTATTCCCTTGTTAGTAGAGATGTAAGTGTTTTTCATCTTATGGGAGCCTACTAAAGAACAGTTGGCAAGATAAAGTGAGACAATTTTATTAAATGTAGGATGAAGGCTTGATCCTTATGGCAAATTTACTTAATTGCAGTTTGTTCATTCTATATGTATGTGTATATGCATATGCATATATGTATATGTGTGTGTGTGTGTGTGTGTGTGTGTGTGTGTGTGTGTGTGTACATACACAAACACACACATGAATTATAATTGCATGTTATATATAGCTTGAATCTCATCCGAATGACAAATGTATTTACCTTGTACCAGTTGTTCTCTTTCAATATTGATTTTTGATCTGTAAAATCTGCTCATAGCTCCTGGTTGTATAAAGTAGCAATAGCAGTTAGACTTATATACCACTTCATAGGGCTTTCAGCCCTCTCTAAGCAGTTTACAGAGTCAGCATATCGCCCCACAGTCTGGGTCCTCATTTCACCCACCTTGGAAGGATGGAAGGCTGAGTTAACCTTGAGCCGGTGAGATTAGAACAGCTGAACTGCAGATAACAGTCAGCTGAAGTGGCCTGCAGTACTGCACCCTAACCACTGCGCCACCTGGCTCTTTTTAGAGGGAACGAGGAAGGTAGAAAATCTTTGTATACCACTGTGGAAATGGTTAATGATGTTATTATTTTAAAATATTTTAGAAATTGATCCAGAAGAAACAGTCAAATTGTTTAAGATGATAGAAGTTCAGATTTCCAAATGCAGAGAGTACATTAACAGTGTGAATGACACCTTAAAAAAAGTTTTATCGTCTTGGGCCAACTATACGGAGAACATCCAGTTGCTAAAACTTTGGCTGGAAGAGACTCGAAAAGACCATCTTAAGAAGGTATGTTTATTTTTTTTTCCAGTCATTGAAATTATTTTGAAAATTATGGATGCACCATAAACATCATATGGATTTTAATATGATCCTTTAGATCTCCCCAGAAACTTTGGCAGCCTGGAATTCATGGCATGGTTCCTTGAATGAAGCTGGAAACTTTTTGATTGAATCCAGCAATGCAGAAGTGGGATCAGCTGTTTCTGGAGAATTGAAAAAATTGAACAGAAAATGGGCTAAGCTTATAAAGAAGACAAAGTTTGTGAGTGGACATAAATATTTTCCTTTCCTAATTTGATCAAATCATACTTTACAGTACAATGAAGTGTTACAATATTAGTACCTCACTGTACTGTAAGGCTATAAATTAAAAGAAGGAATAAAAAGTTTCATATCATCACTTTGGGTTTAAGCTCAATTGTCAGGGTTCCAAGTAACACCCCCAATGAAAGAAGACTCTGAGGCTTGAGGTTCCTCAAAGTTCCATTTTATTACAGGTGTCATATTGGCACATCTGGGAAAATCCAAATCTGAAAGCTTCCAGGTTTTCTCCACCCAAAAGAAAGTCCAAACACCTGTCCAGCACCCACATGTCCAACTTATGGTCCAATCAAAGCACCACCCCCACTGAAGATGCCTCCCAGTCACACCCTTCCAGGTGCAGTGTCCTTGTCTCTTGGAGAAAGGAATGTTATTATGACTATATATCTCCCCAGCTCCATAAAATCCCCCCCCTCCCAGTTTTCCAGAATCTGGCAGGCCTGAAGATCCAATGCCCAAGATGGCTTCCAGGCCTGACATCAATGCCAGTAGTTCAGTGTTCTGACCCCCCCCCCCTCCAACCTGCAAATCACCCTGACACAGGCTTGGCTGTTTGCCACTCTTTAATCACGGCTTCATCAACTCCTTTGGCTGAAGGCCCAGACGCGACTCACATGCAAGACTATTTGAAAATCCAACAGGCACAGATACATGACAGACAGAATATTCCAATACTGTTTCAAACGATTGTGTCTTGCAAATGACCCCTCCCCACTTCTTTACTTATATACTCTCTTGGGAGGGGCCAAGCCACAACCACCTGGGCTTAATTTTCATCTCTGAGTCTGCCTCCGCAGCTGCTGCTTCCGTTTCTCTGTCCTTCTTTGTCTTGCATCAGGAATAAACTGCCTTGAATCCTCCCCACTGCTCCATGCCTCAGGTGCCTCCTGGTGGCCAACCAGCCTCTCTGGTCCCTGCTCTGAGTCTGAACCCTGCCCAGGGTCCTCCACATCTTCCCTGGTAGACTCATATGGTTCCTCGTATCCGAGTCCAACAGCAGCTCAACCGGATCCTGCTGGTCCACAACAGTTTAGTGTTAAATTTATAAAGCAATAGCACGTAGACTTATATATCATTCCACTATGTTTTATAGCCCTCTCTGAGCAGTTTACAGAGTCAGCATATTTTCCCCAACAATCTGGGTCCTCATTTTATTGACCTTGAAGAATGGAAGACTGAGTCAACTTTTGAGTAGCTCAGAATTGAACTCCTGGATGTGAGCAGTGAGTTAGTCTGCAGTACTGCATTCTAACCACTGTGCCATCACAGCTCCATATTATATACTTATGTATTAAATCTGCAGACTCATCCCTGTTTTTCCCCGAAAGGATTGAAAAAACGTCAAATGAAGTGATAAGCAACCTCCCCCAGATAGATGCTTTATGAGATGTGTTCAATTTTAATCCTATCATTCATAGTCAATTACATGTAATTTTAATACTAAGTATTAATTTTTTAATAACAATATTGCAATGAATATTGTTATTCCTTCTGTATTTATTTTTTCCCTTCTATCAAATTAAAATTAGAATTCAGTGATTGTAGGGACTAATCTCAAGGTTTTCTTAGACTGCAGTTATCAGTTTTACAGGAATGGGATTTGCATATTACCTATTAATTAAAGTCTTCAAAAGTCATGGATGGTTTTGTAATAAATTAATAACACAAGATATTTATTGTGGCATAAGCTTAATAGACCTACTTTCTCATATGCATGAAATATTCCTCATTAGTAGATTCTTTTTTAAAAAAACATGGCAAAAAGACCTTGATATATGTTGATATTGCCACATTTATAAAACTCCAAATCTATACAAGAACAGTAACCATTCATAATAGTTGTTATTTTATGGCCTAATTGAGAAAATCAATTAAAAGCATCATGTTTGCAGATTCTTGGATGACTTTCATTAATGCAAACACATACATAGAATAAAGCCATCAAAGTCCAAGTAGCAAACCTGAGGATTATAACAAATGTTGCTTGATGTTTGTAGGAAATGAAAATGTTGAGGATGCAAGAGGAAGAAATGATGTTGGTAACAGATAACAATGGAAATGTTGAGACTTCTAAGAAATTAAATCCAGATGTATTTAATAATCCAGTGGAACCTTCAAAGGAGTGTCCTAAAGTGTGCTTTGAAAAGTCAGAGGTAAAGAATCTGCTATTTTATATATAAATTGGAATTTTAATACTTGTCTTATTTGCTGCATTCCAAACTAAATCTCTATTCTTGCCATTCAGTATGGGTGATACAGTTTCTGTGCATTTGCAAGGAACTATGCAGGGAAGGGGTAAATTGCAGTCATAATCTTGCTTCCAGATCTGCAGATGTGTTGGTTAGGACTACCCACCTAAAAGAGCCCATATTTGTATGGGCAGTTACCAGGGGTGAAATCAACTTACCGTTGCTATCAGTTTGCAAATGTGAGCGTGCTACGCGCATACAAAGAGCGTCAAAAATGGGACATGATGACATCCGGGTGGGTGGGCGGAGCCTCCTGCCACCACCACTACCGGTTCGCCCGAACCAGATAAACTGGCTGAATTGCACCACTGGCAGTTACTAATGCTCTTATGGGTCCAAGTCACGGTAACTGTTTGCAAATTACTAATAGTAGAAAGAAATTTATTATTATTATGGTTCATTGCAGTCAGCCAGATATGCAGATTGGGTTTGGCATATTTGACTACCTATCAAGTCCTTTCCAAGGACCTGGGATAGGCAGATCTGGATGATTGATGGTATTACGGATATCATCAGAGGATATAAGCTGTTCCCAGTAAAGCTGCCTTTTGCAATGAACGGATGGCAAATTTGTCGATGCCTATGATGTTCAAGTAGTGCTCCAGTTGTTTTGGGGTTGCATCCAAGGCACCTATAACTATTGGTACTACCTTTGCTTGTGTGTGATCTTCTTGCAGCAACTTGGCAGGTTTCTTCAGCTTCTTTGCATAGGTGACATTTATTGTCTGTTGCTGTCTTCTCAATTCTGGCTTTGTATGCATTTGTTCTTAAGGCTTGGTCTTGTCCAGAATTAGTCCCACGGTCTCCTCCTCCACCCCCCCCCCAGGAGACTCTGGTTTACCATTGTGAAAAACAGAATATTGAACTTTGGTCTAGCCCAATATGGCTTGGTTTGTGGTTTTGTAATATCTAAGAAGTATAGTGTGAGTCATATTGACCAATATTTGACTTCAGGTGCATTTATGTCAAAAACATTATGCTGCCAGGTGTGGCCACACAATTGAAGCTCCCACCTATTTTGTTTGTGTCACCCACATAAAAGGGACCAAGGCTTCAATCTCATAGTTGCAGTTGCCACCTTGACTTTTAAACCTCCTCTGCAGAAGTTTCTGCTAAAGTTTCTAGGCTCTTGTCAGGTTATACCCAAAAACGACAGCAGAGCAATCCAGAGTTCAATTCTTTATTTGCTTACATACGATAGACAGAACACTTATATTTCCTGGCCTATTGCTTACCTCCTGGTAAGTCAGTTGCCCAGAATACAGACTTGCATAGACTTCTAATAGTATCTTATTGGAAAATGGAGCTTTCTTATTAGGCTAAGCCCAAGAACGACATGGAACAATCCAGCTAGAGTTCACGACTTTATTTGCTTACATGAAGTAGATGGAATCTTGCCAAACTAAATCCTTACTTCTCCTACCCTAACAGATATACCCTGGGAGATTTTAGGGAGCGCCTGTCCAAACTCTCTTACTTGTCTCCAATCCATGTCTGGGTTGGGCTGACTCTTTTCTCACCCCCCACACCTTCAGGAATATGTGCCCTCCTGCTGGGAAATTGCTGCCTCACTATAATCTATCACCCTAGCTTCCCTTCCATGGACACCATCTCTCACAGCTTTTTCCAACGTTTGCATAAAGTGTATGGATATTCATGGCTTAATTTTTTTAAAAAAAAAATTCAACTGTAATCTCTCTTCCTGTAAATGAAGTCCATTATTTCATATTCTGCAGTGAGTGAGAGTGGAGTGAGAGAGAGAGATGTGGCCTTCACCTTATTCTGAGAGATATCATTTTAAGTATGTGAAGGGTGTCATAATATTCTCCCTCAGTTATCTTTTCTGAAGGATAAGCATACCCGGTTCTTTCAATCCCTCTTCAGAACAGTTTCTATTCTCCTACCATCTTCATTGCCCCTAGTTGAACATTTTCCAATTTTCTCTGAATCCTTCCTAAAGTGTAGTCGCTAGAACTTGACACAGTACTTGATGTGGAGGTCTGATCAAAGCAGAATATAATGGGATTATTTTACCATTTAGAAATAGTATTTCTGTGTATGAAACTTAAAATTGAATTTACCTTTTTTTTGCAGCCACATCTTGTGCTATGTTATCTATGTCTTATATTTATCATTTCCATTTTCTAGTTGTTAGGAGGATCAGATCCACAAAGGAAATGGTTTAATGCAGTCCTAGAAGAGAATGAATTACAGAAATGTATACAACCCTGAAATATATATACATTTTTCCATAATTGTTTGTATTTTGATAACGGTTATTGGAATTATTTCAGCTCTAGAAAAATATTTTTAGTATGCAATTAATATAAGTTTACAGAAAGTTCAGACAGTAAGTTTTCCAACTTCCATCTAAAGTCTCTAACAATTGAGTAATAGGAAAAGATCACAGGTCTTTTGATGATGGCAGATAACATGGTAAGACTATGTGATGCTTTTTTGCTATGATTTTTCTTTGTAGATTGTTCCTATTAGCCTTCAGACAGATCCATGTACACCAGATGAGTTCTTTTCAGAAGACGAGGACAAGCTAAACTTTGAAAAAGCTCACAAGGAACTTGAAACAATCGTTCTAAAAGCTGTGCATCTTGTAGACCAAAAGACAATTTCTGAAGAACCACATTCAAAATATGAAGTGAGTTAATCCATGATACCACTGCATAATTAGACACCCTAAAGGGCAGAGTACTGTGCTTGTAATAAATGAAAAACAAAAATGGTTACTATTTCAGCTTTAAAATACATGTTAAGGATGTCTCCAGGCAGAAGTAAAAAAAAGAAAGGTATGCTCTACCAGTGTTTCTTTTATGATAGCTTGAGCTCTGTCAACATTTTTAGAGGTTTAATGGTTCCTTTAAAGCATGTAAATGCTTAAGGCATCCATTTTACCTGTTAAAACCAACTCCCAGAACAAGCCTGGCCCTGTGTTTTTTTGGAATGAGGTCCTCAAAATGTTATGCAAGATGTGGTGCAGTATTAGAATTGATAGAAATTGTACATCTCTGACATAAATAATCTGGACTGTGAAAAACACCAAAGTGATGTCTCCAAATGAAGTCTGAAAGCACATTTTTCAGTTAACACATTTTATTAAAAGGCATAAGCCTTTGTGAGCTACAACTCCTGCATTGGTTGGAAAAGATATTACCAAACCCCTGATTTTTTGCTGCCATGGATTAACCACCTGCTAACAAAAACAGCAATCTTATGTTTATTAACAGTTACAATTTAGACACCACGGTTAATATTGATATAAAGTCTTTTCCTTTCCTGTAAAATTTTAAGTTGTCTAAATCATCATAGCGTTAATGACCTCTAGTTCATATGTATAGATACCACTGTATTCAAATAATGTAATCTCACAGTTCAGTAAAACAATATTTCCCTTTTAAAAAAAGGAACAGCAGTGCCTGTCCCTGCCCTATTTTCCTCCTGCTTTTTATTGTAAAGTAATTGAAATATTGTAAAGTAAATGAAATAATTGATTCATTACTTATATCTTTTATGTACACTGAGAGCTTATGCCCGAAGACAAATTCCTTGTGTGTCCAATCACACTTGGCCAATAAAGAATTCAATTCAATTTTATTCAATTCAATTCAATTCAATTCTAATCTAATGTAATCCAATCTAACCTAATCAAAATATGATGGCATGTCCTCTAGAGATGCAGCTTCTTGGTAGGAAGCTGCAACTAATATTTGTAAACCAACAAATATACACGAGTGTTTAAATTAGGGATCCAGTAGGCCACACCTGCTGGTCTTATCTAGTGTGGGCTGTGGGGCTGAGATCAGCACAGGGTAGCATGGAAATACTTGTAATTTCCCTATGCAATGCCCCAAAGTTATATCAAAGATCTAATTGGAAGGGATAGTAACAGGGCTTCAAACTAATGAGACCAGAGAATCTAGGAAAGATACACAGACCACGTCTGTGATGGGCCCTATCTTCATGTTACGGCTATAGAAGGTATTCAGTGCATTATGTCCTAGGGCAGGACTCACTGTTTCTCAACCTTAGCAACTTTAAAAGGTGTGGACTTCAACTCCCAGAATTCACCAAGCCAGCATGAATGCACATTAGACGAGCTGTTCTTGTTCTGTTAAGTGGCTTCAAACATGTTATTTCAAAGGCTGTCCCTCCATGTCCAGCAAACCTTGTTTTAATCTGCAATTCTACTGGAATGGGGAGGACCCCTATATCACCCTGGCATGCATCTACCTTGGGGCAAGGGGTTTGCTGTTTTGATTATCATTCCATAATTTTATGTCATTTTTTTCCCCAGGAGGCTTTTAGCATCTTGGATACTAACATTCTTAGCAAGTTTTTGAAAGCAGCAAAACAACTGAAAAGCATTTTATCAGCTCATGAAAAGGCACTGGTGGAGGAAAGGAGCAAAGATGTTTGTGAGAGATGGGAGGTGAGAAAATGTGCTTGGAAATAGATATTTTAATCAAGAAGAAGCCACTTGAGCATTTAATATTTACATGAAATGTTTGCAGGATTTTTTTTTTTTTGCTGTAGCATGAATGATATAATGGTGAGAATTATTAGCTTCATCCAAAGAGACCTAGGCTGAAGACATGGCTCAATAAATTAGTTCCAATAAGTAATGATGGACAAGTTTATTTTATGTGGTTACCAGAACTTTTTCCATATCTACAGCAACTGTATAGAGCAGTTGTCCCCAACTGTGGAGGCCTGGCTGAGAGCGGGGGGGAAAAGGTGAACTGGGCGCATAACTGGCATGGTGGCAGCCCGACTTGCATGAATGCTTGCATGCATGCAGCTTGACTTGTAGTGCAAATGCCCACCAGCCTGCTGCTTGCACAAGTTGATCTGTATGCGCACACAAGCTGGTCAGCTAGTAATGCAGCCCAGTTCTGAATAGGCCATGGCCTGGTAATGGCCTGTGGCCCAGAGGTTGGGTAACGTCTTTTCTTCACTACCAGTTTGGTAGCAAGAGCGCATGCAGGGCATGTCTGGGCATGCACAAAACCTTCTGCACATGTGCAGAAAGTCTGTGATGACGTCTGGGTGGGTGGGCAAAGCCTCGTGCTACCGCCACTACTGGTTCACCCGAACTGGTGCAAACCGGCAGCATACCACCTCTGTTAAGGACCCCCAGTATAGAGGATGTGAGTCTATTGTATTAGGCTGTATTTTGTTGGTTGGTTAGGAGGAATCTAGATGCAAATTCTTGTGGCTCCATTACTACTACAACTTCTTCATTTGGGGGATTTTGGCTGGTATCAAGAATAATAATGCATTCTTTTTGCTGATCTTCCCTTCAATGCAAGGATTTTGATGTATATTGCCAGGAGATTCATTGAAAGTATATGCATGTTCATGCATCACGTAAAAATGGGCTGTTATATATGCTTGGCAGAAGTTTAAGACAGAGCCTTTTTTATAGTGACTACATACAAATTTTATTTATTTATTAAATTTTTGTGCCAACCATCTCCCCTGCAAGATGACTCTGGATGGCTTACAGGTTATTAAAAATTTTACAATATTCCATGAGGGATTGTTCCCTTTGTGTTATGAGATAGACAGTGAGCTCTTAGGATCCAGTCTGGGTCACTCATTGGAATCAGAGGTTTAGTCTTCCAAGCTTCTGGACTCATGCTGGAGCCCATTCTCAGGGAACTTCTCTCTACCTTAATGAGCTCTCTCGGCTAATTTATTTTTCTGTTTTATATTTTCATCTGTATTTTTCATGTAATCATGTTTTAACTTGCTTCCATTTTCAACAAAAGTGTAAACAGAGTTGACATATTTAACAGTATATAAATATTGGATAAATATGGCATATGATATGGTTGTATTGGTAGATTGCTATAGTTCTCGATGTGTTCTATTTGTTCACTTGGTTTTCATCATGGATTTTATTGTTAATCACTATAAACATCTGTAATGAAGAGAAGTGCCTAAATATACCAAACAAATACATAGAGGAGGATTTTGTGAACCTTTCTATATTCCCCCCCCCCCCTCTCAGCTACATATCCTCTGGATGAACGTTAATCTTTTAATTACAACTTCATTCTTTTATGTTTATTTTACTGTTAATTGCTTTGAGTGGAAACTCAGGAAGATTGTAATGAACAGACACATAGTGTGCAGGGTTATTTTGAAGCTAAAATGTTACTCTGATCTTAGAACAAGATTTGTATGTAAAATACTCCCCTTGCTGCTTAAAGTGAATATTTGGATTTGGCCATCTCTTTCTCAGGCTGCTCGCTGTGAAATCATGTCTTATATTCACCTGAAATTGAAAATTGAAAGGGAGAAGTTCAATAAGACTTTTTCAAATCTCAATAAGCAGATAAATAAAGAGAAGAAACTGCTCAATGCTGGGAAAACCAAAGGACTTATTGAGGAGCACGAGGTACCATATAAAACTGGCTTTCTCTTTTGTTTCTCAGACATTTTTATTTATTTTACAAGCCGCCGTGTAATGAGTCAGAATTACAATTGTGGTTCTACGATATCTCAATGCCACGAGAGATTTCCTTTAACTCTGTTTCCTAACATCATTGTCACTGGGAGAGGCCAAGAACCCAAACTGGAATTGTTGTGCTGAAAAACAGTGTAAAATTGAGTGATGTTGTAATATAATGATGCAATGATGTCTTTAGTAAGTTGGCTAGCTGCATAAAACTGAAATAATTATAACCTACTACTTCAGTAGAATCAATATACCTGAGCTGAAAGTTTGCATAATCGGCCTGTCTATAGTAAGTAAGGATATTTTTTAAAATCCAAAATGTTACCTGTGAGCTAAATTACTGGTGAACAGTAACTGGGTAAGTATTCTGATCCTTTTAGTTCTTTCTCTACTATTTGGCTGTCCAGTGCTTTGGATCCCCCCCCCTAAAAATGCCTTGGAGCATGTCCCTTTTTTGAAGTGTGGCAGACAGATATTCTATTTACTCCAAGGTGCTTTTCGATATTGAATTTGAAGCAATATATGGTCTGGTCATTTAATGGAACAAAGAGCTCAACTTCACATCAACAGTGACAATTGAATATCTTTTTTTCATTGTTAAAATGTTTTTATTTTCCATTTTCCATTTTCATACAGTCACATATATATTGTGCATAGCTGGGGCCATACAACATTAAACAATAATCACAGCAGTTCCTCTTGTCAACAATACCCCCAGAAATATAAATAAAATAAAACTCAAACTCAAATAGAAACCCAATACCGCTTCTGCTCTCCATACACCTCTTTCTTCCGCCCCCCCCCTCCAACTTACTAACTTCCCTCTATCATTTCCCTCTACCCTACTTCCCCTCC